TTGTTATGTTCTGTCTTCTTCTGAATGGGTGTTCTGAACTGTAATTCCATTATGATCTGTACAATGACAATAAAGGTCTATCTATTTTTATTATTCATATCGATATCAAATTATTATTCTGTCGACTAAAATTAGGAGTTATATCATGATATACAGTATATATTTAGTCATATCCCACCCCTGCTTTAAAGGAATGTTCGCCTTTTTTTGGTTAAGTTTTAATAAAGTGGCTAAATGTTGACAGCTGAGTTTTTATATGAAAGAGCAGCAGCTCTTTCAGTGTGTGAGGCTCAGCTGCTGTGTGTTAGTCACGCAGCCCCAGCCTCCACACAACTATCAGCTCATTACACAGCCTGAGTCATGAACTTAGACAAACATTTCCCAGGAAACCACAAACTACAAATGACCTTAAGAAATAACTATAATGGATGTTTTTGTCAGTGCCGGAGCAAACACTGAAGCATTGCTGATATCATATTTAACGAGCTTCCTGCTGCTCAAAGCTCCAGTCTGTTCAGTCTGAGGTACAAACAAGACGTTTCTGTTGAGGGAGCAAAAAAAAACTGTTCTGTACACTTTCTGCCTTGTTGTGTTCACCCATACAGAGTCATGRTGACACAGTGTTGTGTCTGCTTGTGTTTACAAACAGGCTGATGTGTCTATGAGAGTACACAAACTCTAACTACACTATAAGGTTTTATATCGGATTGATGTAAAAAGGAAAAAAATAAAGTCAAAAAAGGTTCTCAGGAATAAACGTTCTGCAATAATCAGAAAGGCTCAGACAGACAAAGCTAATWTAAAGTCAGCAGTTAAGTCTGAACAGGAAACTCAAAAGAAGGTTTTATTAAAACAACAAAATGGTTTTACCTGGAGCCAATTACATGAATCTAAGATAAGGGATTAAGCTGAGATTTTGGTGTAAACCTGAATTAATTAAGCCTTGACTCAGTTGCATGGGAGGGGAAGCACTTACAGGTGCTGGTCATAAAATTAGAATATCATGAAAAAGTAGATTTATTTCAGTAATTCCATTTAAAAAGTGAAACTTGTATATTATATTCATACATTACATACAAACTCATATAT